CAAAGAAGTCGTCACATCCAAATTATTTACAACAGTTATCATCATTATCAGTTGATTGATTAGTTAAAGATAATGAAAAATTTCCCTTTCTTTTTTTTTTTTTTCAGAGCTTAGATTTAACTTACATTTGTTTTTTAAATTAGCAATACTTTATATGCAAAATCTTATAATTTACCAATATAATTTGGAGAAAAAAAATCTTCCAGTTAAAATTTAAGTAATATTTCAATCATATTGAGGAATTTCAATGTTTAATTTAAATCAACTACCGTGACCAGACATACCATTATCATTTGTTATAAATTTAAATCATCAGATATTGTAATTTATCTTTTGCAATACGATCAACAATTAAAAGATTAATTTATTAGCCAAAAGGAAAAATGAAATTGTAATCCTAGTATTGCCTACTTAGATTGATCCATATAAAAATTTTTCACTCGTAATGAGAAATTATATTTATGCAAAATTAAAAGTATTCGAACATTTCCGGAAATTTAAAAGACTTCATAAAATCATTCATTTTTCCTGAACTTATTATTTTATAATGCTACTTTTATTTTCACAATTTTAATTATAGTTTCATTTTTTTTTTTTAAATGTTTGATTTATCATTAGCATTCAGTAGAAGACTAAAATGAAATGATTGACCATTGTCCAAAAAGCTTGAATAAAAATGATCAACATTTAAATGGAATGGTCATCAGATTAGGATAAAAGTTACAATTATCCGGAAAATGACATTATATGGATATAACGCATGGGGAATATTGTTCTAATTTTTAAAAGGATAAGATTGGTAATGTGTCCATTCGACATAGAAAGCTGATTTATCTCATTAGCAACGATCTTTGTTAGATGACAATCAACGAATGCTAACATCTCAATGCTAAACATTATTCAGTTTGAGAAAGTTATCGTAATCCTAAAATTTAGTCAAATTTAAACTTATATTAAATTTATCAAAGTTTAAATGAGGGGAATTGTGAAACAAGAAAAAAGGTGGAAAAAAAAAGCAATACTTTTTAAAATTTAATTCTTATTGTTCTTTATAAGGTTTAGCTATCCTTTTTTTGCGTCTTTTTTCCGTTCTTTTTTTTGTTTTTTTGTTTTTTTTGTTTTTTTTTTTTTGAAAATTTCAATAGCAAGTCAAGAAATATGAAATATGCAACAGCAGCACCCATATGTGAATATTTATTAAGGATAAAATTCATGGAAAAAAAATGTTGAAATCATGTCACGATTAAGCCTTTCAGATAAATAAACAGATGTATTGCTGTGATTGTTGCGCTATTCTATAGATTAGTTACATAGGAAATATCCACTTGACCTTTAACCCTAGTACTCAGACTAATCAATGTTAGTGCTAGTACTAGTAGCAGTAGTAGTATTAGTAATAAGGAAATGAAATAATTGATGGGAATTAATTTACAACAATTGCATCTTCTTGCAATATTCTAATTTCTTCCAGATTATGGAAAATATGCTATGATTTAACTTAATTATCAAAATACATAAAATGATTAATAAGCAATGATTCATTTCATGCCTTTCATATTTGATGTGAACATTGATTTAAGAGACCAGGAGTTTATTTAATTTGCTCTTTTCTCTCTATCACTTGTTTAAATGGTATTCTGTTTATTTTTTTCTTCTCCATGAAGTCATATTTTAATAAATACCGAGTACATTTGATTAAGTAACTTCATTACTTATTCAAGTAATTGATTACTTCATTTGAAACCTTACGATTTATAGAGTTACCCTCATTTTTTTGTTATTACAAATACAACAATTAGCAAAAACATTTTTATCATTCGCTTTCTATTACATGGTTGTTTTGTTATTTGGAATTTACAAACTCAACCGTACTTGAATATTTAATTGGTTAGTTCCAGCTGCTGTTTAATCATATTTAAACATTCAATTACTTAACTGGAGTTGTCGTAAGCAAATTGTCGATTTTGCTTATCACAATAAGCTTTGCTATGATTCTCTCTATTACGGTACAAACTCTTAACCAAATTGATTGATATTATCAAATTCCAAAAATGTTATTAACTGCAATACTTTCAGGCTGCTCAGTATTTTATCACACTGCATTTGTTAAGACAGGTAACTCACTCCTACAGTAGTACCTACCACAAGGCACTACTCAGTCGAACACATTACAGTAACACATATAAACAACTCGACAGTCCTATCGCAACCCCTATCGTGACAGGCCTTTCGCAAAAATTCGCTTTGCAACGCTGTCGTTAATTTGTGTAATTTTGATAGCCGTGCTATGAAAACTATGATATCGTTGATTTCGTAATTATTTTGTTTGTTAGGTGGTAGTAAGGTTCTTTTTCTTGTCCTACTTCGACTGTCTTGGAAATTGTTCTCGAAAATTGTTCTGTCAAATTTTATAAGTTCCAGCTAATCCTCATCTTCATCGCTCTTATCAGGCAAAAGAAATGAACGAATGTTATGCGTATGATTATACTTTAAGATAGCAACAAATATTATCAAGTATTATAAAGTTAAATTATTAACAAGTAAGTAAGATAAATGATGCAAACTACGAAATATCCACTGCGTGTTCCTTTTGTTAATGAGGACTATGAAGTTTTAAAAATTCTAAAAAGCTATTTCATTACCAGTTGGCTGCTTGGTCTGTAATGGACTGCGTGGTATTTCACAAGTAAACGAAATTGATTTAACATTTTTTTTTCTGTCCAAATTTTTATTTCTTGTTGTTTTCAAAGTTTATTTGTGAGTTCCAATTTAATGTATACCATCAGGTTTAAAATTAAAGTTCTACTATTTGAAAGATGTAATAAACAGAGATAAATTTCTAAATGAATGGATGAGCTATTTTTAAAACTTGATTAGAAAAATACCTACTGATCATCATTTCAATTCATAGATTGAAAGTTATCCCAGGTAATAATTTCAAGATACGAGATACCGTCCAAAGCTATCTGAGGCTATTGACTCATGATACCGCTATACCTATGAAAATATTTAAGATATTAACTGCTAGATAATATCCGTATCAATTATGTCAGATGGTTAAACTGTTCTGTTTAATACTTAGTATATCCATTTCAGCAATGCAAGCAGGTTTCTGTATTGAATAAAACATAATTTTAGTTATTTGAATGTTTTCTTTCTTAAAATTTCGGTATATAATTATTAAAGAACGAATTTCAGAGTGGTTGAAAAACACTACAGCATTATTGCATTCGGTGAAAAGGTGCAATGGGAACAAGTAATTTGAGGTTGGTTGATTATATGTTGAAGTTTTATTTTTCTAATTTCGGCAAAAAAATTAAATTCTTGGATCAAATAACTGGTTGATCTAAGAACAGCGATTAAAGTAAATGGTGGTTTTGAGATTTTATGAATTCATCATATTTTGCAATCACTATGATCTGAAAATCACGACATCAATTGTAGCTTCTGGAATTTAGATTAAGTCGTATAATGTTATCGTAAAAGTTTATTACTCAGAAAATGTAAGAATCATGCGAATGGATATTATCTTATACCATTTTTATTGCTTCAGCTGATGAATTCTTATTTTTTATGTTCTTTCAATTCTGTCATTCTTGTTGATCTCAACACCGCTACTTTAGATATAATATTTGTTCTTTTTCAAGTATGTTATATGTTGGAGACTTTGATAATATTTATTCTTTCTCAGAAGATGAAACTATCCCTCTCTTTCTAAAAGGATTTTTTCTCCCAAGCAATGATTTATTTATTACAGGAGGGCAAAAACACGTCGTGGCAAACGATTTCTGGAAAATCGTCAACCGAAAGTTATTGAGAACGATAAAACAGCTATAATCGTGAAAGGTGGTAAAACAAGCCAAACCGTTACTGATGCTTTAGCCGATCTTTATGCTTTGAAAAAGCCATTGGCTATGCGCATGAAAAGGTTTGACCTTAATCAGAACCACTTTCTCGTTGTAAAAGATGTACAATATAGTTTATCATTCTGAGCACTTGTGATTTCCCAGATAATTGTGAGCATCAGTATTACCATAATATGACAACTAATTTGGCAAGTAGTTTGATATTTTGTTATTTTCAGACGTAATCCTATCTATCCGTTTGAAAATGATGTTGAATTGGAGAGTTTTGCGATGAAATATGACACATCGTTATTTTTGTTTGGCTCAAATTCTAAAAAACATCCGAATAGTTTGGTTATGGGACGTATGTATGACTGCCATGTACTCGATATGGTCGAATTACAGATTGAAAATTTTGTTAAATCGGCAGATTTCGACGTGAGTTTTGTTATAAAAAATTGGGATAAAATCATTTCTTGACTTTTATGTTTTGCGAGAACCGAACTGCAGGATTTTATTAAGCCCATGGATAAGGTTTTGATGAAGCATAACATAATTCGAGCAGAAGTTTTTTCGAATTTTTGAAACCCAGGGACCTTTTGACTGATACACCTGTCGTGATATCAGATATAAGTTCTAATGTTTATAGTAATTACTGTTCGCGGTAATTAGCATTAGCATTAGAATTTAAACAGGAGATAACATCCAGACTAGTTTGGCTTAAAAAATTTTCGTGATGCCAACAGCATTGCCCATGGAAATTGGGGCGAAATATCCAACCGTAATTGTCAATTCCTGTAAGTGACGTCATAAGCATCTTTCGAGAAAATTGACCTTTTATGGAATCTCCCCTTCCCTTTTCTCCCCCCTTCCCCATAAGTAATTTATTGCAGTTATAAGCCAGTAAATCAGTTGATGAATACTTAATATTTGGTTCAATTACTAATTTATGAAATTTTACACATAGAATTGGAGAATTACACTTGCTCTAATAACTTAATAACTTTAAAAACATGCCATTTTTGCTGCCTTTTTTTCTTAAAATTCTCTTATGAATCTTTGCCCCAGAAAATATATCAAACAAAAACACATAACATTCCAGCCGGCTAAAGTATCTTTTGGTTGTAAACCTTGCATAGTTTTGCAAGGAACCGAATTTGAAAAGGATGAATCGATGAAGCGCATTGGTAATTTGATGGTTGATTGGTTTCGTGGTGCAGTGATTGAGAATATACGCTTGCAAGGATTGGAACTTGTTATTTCCTTGACTGCTCTTGAGCAGAAAATTTATCTTCGAGTGTACAGGTACGTAGAGCAAATGAAATCACTGAATTTCTTTTATTGCATGTTTTGGGCATTTTTTCTCGTCATATAAAAGCTGATTTTGTCAGGTGGAAAATAACTGTCAGTAATTGCTGGATGTGTGCATTCTTAAACTGTATCCAGGAAGTAGGTAAACATATTGGTCTGATTGGCTTATGAGAGGATTCATTTAATAGAAATGGCAAATTCCAAATGATAGGAAGTGGAAGGTACATCCTAATGTAGATGAATTAACAGATTGATCAGATTCACTTAAAGAACAGTCGTTTTTTTGGTGACTTATTACTGGGACCAGTTATTGTTTACTGTGACCGTTGAGTACTTACGTTGTCGAGTAAAAGTTTTCTTTTCGGAATTTAGGACTTGTTTGAAAAAGTCAACGGGCACCTCGCCAAGAGTAGAACTTGTTGAAATTGGACCAAGAATTGATTTTTCGGTGCACCGAAATAAATTTGCCAGTGAAAGTCTTTTCCGAGAAGCGATGAAACAACCAAAACAAATCTTGGTAAAAATTTTATACTAATTCGGCTAGCTTATTAGCCATTTCGGTTATCGCCCGGTGAGGAATGATATAGTTTGAAGTGAGGAAGAGGCTTTAATGTCTTTTTTTTTTCTGCAGCAAATAAGACTCGAAAGCTCACTCAATTGCTTCTGAGATGAAGAGTTGGGAGGGATTTTTAATGATAAAAAATAACTACCAAGTAAATTCCCTTTCTTATTCTAGTAGTTCGTTTGAAATGAAAAAAGTGTTTGACATGATAGGTTTTGGATTTTGGGGAGAAAATACTTACAAAATTAGCAAGAAAAGTCACACCTACCATTGTAAATTTTTGTTTAAACTTTTAATCTTTAGGCTAAAAAACGAAAAAATACATCAACGGATGTGTTTGGTACTGAGCTTGGGCGCATTCATGTCGGTAAACAGAACATTGATAGCATGCAGACGAAGAAAATGAAGGCTTTAAGAGGAAACAAGAATAAAGAACCTCCAACAAATAGTTGATTTTAATTGAGGAGGGATAAATTTGTTTGGGAATGAAACTTGAAGTACATCTTCTGTTACGAGTGGCACAGTTCAGGAGAAGTGAATAAAGTGATACCTGATGGAGGGTTGCAAATTTCTTCTAAGCCTTAAAAATCTGATTACGAAATGTAGATCTCTTTCCGATTGCAAGTTTAAGCAGAAAAAGTAAAGAGAAAAATCGAATCACCGAAGTTTATTGATCAATATCTAAATTTCTATAATCCTTCCCTTCTAAATCATTTTCATTTTGCCCCTCCGTTGGATGTCTATAATTGTTGTCGATTTCCTGGTTAATCGTTCTGTGAATATTACCTTTACATTGTCAAATATCTGCAATGTTCCCTGATTCCTCTGTAAAGTATCTGATACATCTATATGATTATATGTGTCAATACTCTTCAGTCGAATAATTCTATGAGAAGTATCTTACTATCTTTTCTTGTTATTTTTTAAATTGTGCAAAATCAACTCAAATGTTTCTGAGATGAAGAGTTGGGAGAGATTTTTTAATGATTATATACAGTAATACGAATACAAACTCTCAGGGCTTTGAAAAAATTCATTAAGCATTAGTGTTCTATTACGAATTAAAAATTTAAGGGTACATTGATCACAGCTGTATATTGCCTTCTGTTAATGGAAGATATTGCAAAAAGTTCATCAGATTAAGTCATATTCAGTCGTCCTTTGAAAAAAGAATCCCTGCTTTTTAAATTTTTGCATCGGGGATCATTATAAGAGAAATGGAAGTGAGCCATTATGATGATTTTATCAAGTAATGGAATCTTTCGAGTGCCTTCCTTAAATATTCCAATTGGCTTGTTTGGAGCTGGAAAAAAAATGCTATGTAAATTTTACTAGATTGGATTCGCTTCACAAAAGTTAATGAGAAAAATTAATATAAATTTATCAAATGTAAGTTTTTACATCGAATTTGCTTTGTCATTCCGTCATATAACTATTAAGGTAGTATGTTAATCTGCACTTTAAATTATGGTTCTAATAACTACATTACCTGCGGTGGATCTTGTGCTACACGCCGACTATTATTTTTACCGTAAATTACGGTGTTTTCTGGTAGCTCTTCTCGTAGCATTGCCGTACATTTGGTTCCAATGAAGCAGCCTCGTGTAACTGTTGTATTTGGGCCGACCTGGCATCGTACACCAAAAACATTATTATCACCAATCTTCAGTGCATGAACAACTGAAAGTAGTACAACCTTAATAGAATGAAATCGACATATCAGTTTTAGAACTTCACAAAAAAATGAATGGGATGTAAATTTTGTTTGAAAATTCTGCTCACCAGATCCGATTTCAAAAACATTGTCACGGCCGATTAATAGAGTTTCGCCATTTTCGCTCCTGAAACACATTTTAAAAAATGAAGAGAAGCGGAAGGGAATATTTTCCCCGGTGTTTTAAGAAGCTCTTCAGAATGTTCAAATAACTTAAATTTGCTCACAAGTTTTCAATAACGCAGGTCTCCTCGATGTTATTATTTTCTCCAATAATGATCGGTCCATTTGTAGCGCGTATAACGGTTGTCGGATGAACAACGGTACCTAAATGTATTTTAATTGACTAGTTCCGAAATTTTTTATAATATGTACAGTTATAAGTAATATCATCATCAATACCAGTACTACTTGATTTAAAACGAAAACTATGCAAGCCAAATTATAAAACGTTTACGAACTTTCGAAAGAAAGCTACGCAAGTATTCACGAAAAAAAAAAGTAGCAAAGTTATTATATTGAAGATACCTGAACCAATCGTTATATCACCTTCCAGAATCGCTTCCTTACAAACAACAGCATCTGGTGCTATCGTAAATCTGTAATAAAATTTCGATATATTTGATTACAACTAGTCTGTCTCCAAACTATATGCTAAATAGATCGAAAGAAGAGTAGAATATCCAATAATTTCCCAGTATTTCTCTCTTAGATCAGAAAAAAAAAAGCAAGCATATTGGAAAAACCATTTCCTTCCTTTCAAATTCATATTCCTCTGATGAATAAAACCAAGGATTTATTAAACAAAAAAGATTTGTTCAGTAATTTGGTTTTTAAAGAAAAAGGAAAATATGAATGAAAAACTCACTTATTCTCAAGAGTCATTCTGCCGTGCGCTTAAAGTTCAAGTGGAATGAACATTATTCTGCAAATTCTGTAAATATATTACTGTTACTTATTTAAGAGAATGCCTAATAAAACGAATCTCGGACGAATTTTCACGTACTTACTGGTTCAGCCTGATATGTAATCAATTGCTTCCGATAAAAATTCCGGACTGCCGACAATCCATATTCAGAACTTGCTAACGGAAAAAGAGAAGTATAAAACTCATCCTAAGCAGGGAACAACTGACGACGTATCAGACCAAACCGGTGAAAGTACTTTGCGGTCACGACCCGTAACAAGTAAAAAACGTAGGCTTAATTTCTCAGTGCATTTGTTGTGTAGGGCTTACACCAACAATAAGCCCAGTCAACTTCAGAAGCGAAGTCGGTCCATTCCAATGCATGATGGACATATTGGTTGTGAAGTAATAATAATTAGTAATTAATAATAAT